GGGGAGGTCCCACGGCCCTCCCTCTGCGCCGCAGGCGGGCTGCCGTCCAGCAGTGAAGTGCCACGTCCCAGTTTCCCCTCAGGACCCAGGGAGCTCAGATAAGACGGAGCTGGTGGAGCCAGCAGGTGCAGGGGTGAGGCGCTGGACTCCCACGTGACGGTCTGTGGTTCGAGTCCCAGACCTGGCAACTGGCTTTGTCACTTTTCCTCTCTCACTGTCTATCTGGTGAGCCCACATGCCCTATGGCAAATTAAATAATAATACATTTGAAAATTATTATAAAAAGGAAGTGCACAAAAGCAGGCAGAGAATGCGCACAGTGTGTGTGTGTTCGTGGAAGGGTCGGAAAACGGGCACAGAGGAGCACCCGGCCGTTCCGGGGCGTCCCTGTGATCACCAGCAAGAAACGAGAGGACGCCTCGTCCGCAGCCGTGGTGACGGGGTGGCAGTGCCCCCTGAGGAGAGGACACGCGTGGCTCAGTGTCCGTGAGCGCTCGTGCACGAGCAGGTGTGTGTGCGCGTAACTGGGCGTTGGCAGGCGGCGGCGACACCGCGGCACCGTTTCCTCTTCCCCCTGTGGTAGGGAAGCCAGTTGTGTGTGAGCCCGGGTGGACGTTGGCGCCCAGCTTGGAAACGTTTTCTCGCTTAGACGGGCGGGAAGTCCATGGCTGCCGTCTTTGTCTATGTGGGACCTGCCCGTTTTACTCGCTCTTCTGTCAAAGCAGAAGCCACTCGGAGCGCGCAGGGAGAGGGCCTCGGTGCTGCCCGTGCGTCACAGGAGGACGGGTGTCTTCATGGCCTGCCCGATGGCATTAGCTCAGGAGTGCTTGGCCAGCCCATGTGGCCGGCAGCTTGGGGTGAACCTCGGGGGCTGACCGGAGGGTCCTGCCGGGCCGTCCTGCCCCACACCCTCCCTCCAGATGCCTCCAGAACTCTGTGGGCATCTCTGGGCACTGACCCCGCCTTTCTACAGGTGCCAAGCCAGCTGCCTCTGTGGACCCGTGGGGGGTGCCCTCCGGAGCTGGCGCACACTCGGTCCCCAAGAGCACGGATCCTTGGGCGGCCTCACAGCCTCCTGCTCCTGGTGCTGGGAAGATGACAGCTGACGCCTGGGGCGCACCCGCCACTGCCAAGCCCCTGCCCACCTCTGGTGAGACCCCTCCTGGCCTGGGCCGTGAGTCCCTGGGCCCTGGGCAGAGGCCTGTGCTTTGCATTTGCCACCCTTCCCCCCCAGCCTGTGTCCTGGCCCCTAGTGAGAGAGGTGAGCTCGCCCTCTGAGCACCACACCCCCCCGCCCCCGACGGGCTTCCTGGGGGCCCTGGCCGCTGGCCCGGGCACACCCTCAGACCCTGCTGGGTGTCCTCCTACCCCTCCTCCTGTGTGGGGTGGGGATGGTAGCAGGTGGGAGCCAAGGTCCCTGTCCGCCCTGGTCCCCTTCCAGCCCCCCAGGTGACCTGAGCCGGCCCCACCCTCTGGCTCAGTGCTGCCCCGTGGGTCAGGGCGGGCGGGAGAAGCCCCGTGCCAGCCTGCTCCTGGCGATGCCCACGGTCACTGCCTGTCTGCACCCAGGGTCCTTCGACCTCTTCAGCAATTTGAATGGTACAATTAAAGACGACTTTTCGGAATTCGACAACCTTCGGACTTCCAAAAAGACAGGTACGGAAGGTGAGGGTGGCTCCGGCCGGACGCTGCGCCCCGCCCAGCGCGGCATCGCAGACATGCTCAGCCTCAGCCCGTCCGCCCCGCTCATCTCTGCGCGGTCCCCGGGCCTGGGGGTGCTGACTTCCCGTGTCGTGTTACCTCTGTTCTCGCCCCGCCTCCACCAGTGCCACTGCCACAGCCCTCCCCCCCCCGCGAGGCCCTGCTCCCAGGTGACACGTTCCCCTCCACCCCCGCCAGCTCCCTGCCCACAGCCGCCTCCTTTTCCCACGCCTTCGGGCATGGACGGGGCCAGTCTGCCCTGCTCTGTCACCACAGCCGGGCCCTGCTCACAGCCCTCCCAGGAGACCCTCGGCCAGTCTGCAGACCAGCTTCCTCCCCTGGTCCCTGGGCTCGGGGGTTCCAGGTGGCCCAGAGAGCAGGGCCTGGGGGAGCAGGGGAAGGGCCGCAGGTGGGCAGTCCCCACCTCCCCCCCTCCTGTCGGTTTCCTCTTCCTGGCCCCACCCAGCCCCCACCTGCCTCTGCCTTCCCAGTGAGTCTTGTTCTCACTCAGCCTCCCAGCTGCAGCACGGCCTGGCTGGGCCCTGGCCTGAGGCCAAGCAGCCTGTGGGCCCTGCCGCCCTGCGGGCCCTGCCGCCCTGCGGCCCCGTCAGCTCAGGGGCTCCCAGACAGGAGACCGGAGGTGGCTGTGAGGACGTGCTGCTTACCAGGTTCTCTTTTTCACTACATTAAAAACAGCCACAAGAGGGCCAGCCTGTGGCCTAGAGGTCGAGGGAAGCCAGATCCCACGTGGCCTGAATCCCAACCCCAAGGCTAGAAAAACGCCAGGTGCACCCACGTGCACATCCAGATCCCAACGGGACAGAGTCGAGAAAGGATTGCAGTGGGACTGTGCCCCGTTGGGGGTTGGCTCTCTCCATCCCTTCCTAGCAGGTGCACACACCCTCTGGCAACTTAAAAATAGAAGCACCATCGATTCCAGTCTCCCGCGGGCCAGAGCACAGCCTAACCTGCCCCCGCCTGCCCCTGCACCCCCGTGAGAAGGCAGCTTGGTCACTGGAAATGCAATTGTACAGCCATTCCTCCTGTAGGAAAACGGAAATCGTACAACTCGGGGTTTCCAATTGTAGACACTTTGGAAAAGTTGGTGGAAGAAATGAGAATCGTCTGGGTCATTCTTCCACCAACACGCGGCTACCCTGCCTCCTTCCGGAGCTGGTTCCAAGCCCGTACCTGTTCAGTTCGCCCTGTCATAGGACGATGGCCCGGTACCGCTGCCCCATCCCAGGCTTCGTAGATTAATGGATTGAAGTCATTTTCTCGTGTCGTTCAAAATTTACTAGGAAATACATCGTAGTTATATGAGATCTCTTTTTATGGTTCAAGGATGCACCTTTTAGGCTGGGTTCAAGTTTTGCCAAAGTCTGCCCTAGTGTGGCTAACATCTTTGGGCTCATCTCCCTTTTGCATTTATTTTTTTAAAGGTTTTTCCCCAGGGCGCGTGTGCTCACCAGACACACAGAAACAGAGAGGGACAAGGAGAACTCACCCCCTGGGCGGGAAGACCACACTACAAGCCCTTCTCCTCCACTCTCCTCCTGGGATTTTGGGCACACGGGCACATGCGCCCAGAGTGATTGACAAGTCCCTAGGTCTGAGACTCTGCTCCCATGGTCGGCCATGTGGGACCCAGCACTTGAAGCACCATGCCACCAGCTGGCCCCTCGCTGTTCAGCTCCAGCCACTGCACAGTAGTTAGGCACCGCACAGAGGAAGCCAGATTCCACAGGCCAACCAGGGTTCAAATTCCAGCCCCATCAGCTTCAGGGAGGGAGGGCAAAAATAAACTCACACAGAGACCACAGAGCAAAGCACACTGAGACCAGCCTGTCTCAGCACACCCTGTTTTGGCTAAATTTAAGAGTTTGAGGAGCCAGCAGGTAGTGTGGTGGTTAAGGCACTGGGCTCCCACATGGCTGACCGCAGTTCAAATCCAGACCTAGGAACTTGAAAATCACACCAAGTATATGTGTGTACATGCCTAAAATCCCAGAAACAGAAGGGATTGTGGTATGGCCATCTGCCTAGGGGGGTGATTTCTCTATTTCCTTTTCACCATCTCTCTCTGGTGAGCACACACCCTATAGCAAAATAACTAAAAAAAAAAAAAGAAAAGAAAAGAAAAGGAATTTCTTGGGTTTGGGTTTTTTTGTTTTTTTGTTTGTTTGTTTTTTATTTATTTTTTTTTTAGAGGTTTTTGCTATAGGGCGTTGTGCGCTTGCCAGACACGCAGAAAGAGAAAGTGAGAAATCACCCCCCTGGGGGGGATGGCCACGCCGCAATCCTTTCTCCTCCATTCTCCTCTCGAGATCTTGGGCACACACGCACATGTGTCTGGCGTGAGTTTAAGCCACCGAGTCTGGGACTTGAACCATGGTCGACTACATGAAAGTCCAGTGACACAGCCATTATGCCAACTGCTGGTCCCAGAAAAAGGAATTCCTTACTACCAAGGAATTCATGTTCACGTAGAGAACTTAGAAAATGAAAATGTAAGAAAAGGTACAGTCCCAAAGCCTAGCCGCCAGCCCTGAGCGGCGCCTCTGCGTTTGTGGAGGGCCATGCAGCACGGCTTTGGGTGCTGCCCCTGGGCCGCATGAGCAGGCTCTCTGCTCACCCCGAAGTACGCTGTCCCGGCACGCGGCTGGGCCGTGTGCACCCCTGGGTCATTTAACCTGCCTCCGCGGCTGGCTGTGGGGGCCCACTCTGCTGTGGACACACCACCTTGTGCAAAGCCACGCGCATCCCCGGGGAGTAGTGGCCTCGAGGGCGCGAGTTTGGCGTCAGAGGCTGATGGGCTTGGCCGTGTCAGGCGCGCCATCACCGTCCCCACCTGTGTCCTTGCCTTGTAGCCGAGTCTGCGGCCTCTCTGCCATCCCAGAACAATGGAACTACAAGCCCTGACCCCTTTGACCCTCAGCCCCTGGCCGTCGCCTCAAGCAAGCCCAGCAGTGCCCGGAAAACGCCCGAGTCCTTCCTGGGCCCCAACGCGGCCTTGGTGAACCTGGACTCGCTGGTGACCAGGCCCGCCCCGCCGGCCCAGTCCCTCAACCCCTTCCTGGCACCAGGTAGGCTCCCAACCGGGGCTGCAGCATGGCTACTCCGCCTCTGCGTGGGGTCCTCCAGCCCGACCCTCTCGGCCTCTGGGGGGCTCTTCTCCTGTGCCCACGCTCGAGCCTGAGGGTTCAGGGTGCACCTGGTCATGCTGGGACAGAGTCAGCACTTTGGCCCCCGGGCATGTGGGGTGGGCCCTGGGAGCCATGTTCAAAGGGGAAGGTGTGGCAGAAAGCGGCCCCTCAGCGACACCTCCAGGCGGGAGCTGCCCCTGGACATGGTGCCCTGGGAGGGAGGCCCCATGCAATGCCAGCTCTGGACTGGGTGGGGGCCAGGTGGGGCAGGGCAGAGGCGGCTGCCCAGCGGCCCCTGACTGGGAACGTGATCTGACCCTTCAGTGCGCACCGTCCTCCAGGGACCCAGGGACCCTGCTCACCCCCAGTGCTGGGGTCTGCCCCGCACGCTCCCGGGACTTGATGTTGGCTCAGGGCAAGTCCCCTAGCCACTTGACTCGGTCTCTAGGCCTGGCCCTGAAGACCCTGGCCGGCTACAGTGACACCGAGGTCCCTGACAGCCCTCACTCATGCAGGGACCTTTCATCACTCCAAGCTGTTACCCCCTCTTTCTATCTGCCCACGGTGGCCTCCCCTCTCCTTTAAGCCCTCCCACTCACTCTTCCATACCCAACTCAGACCAGCCTCTTCCTCCAGGAAGTCCTCCTTCCTCATGAATTGCCTCAAGGGCAGGAACATGTCATTCCAGGTGTCCAGCCTTTGACGGAGATGCAGGGCATTTGAGGGTCCCAGGCCACCCCGTCAGGATCCTGCAGACTGCAGAGAAGGACCACTAGACTTGGAGGGGCAGAGGGCAGGGTCTGTGGAGGTCCTGGCCCTGAGGTCCTGAGATGGCCAAGGATGCGGTTGGCCCAGGGAGGGGTCCCCTGCATGGAGCTCAGTTAGAACCAGGCTCCTCAGCCAGTCCAGAGCCCACTCCCGGGGCTGCCCGCCCTCAGCCAAAATCGGGGTGCACATGGAACCCCGCAACTCCTAGCTTGTGGGTGCTGGCAGAAGCCGGGCCGGTCATGGGAGCCCCTGGGAGGTGTCCTGCCTCCCCCCATGTGGTCAGAGTGGGGGCCTATCTCTGCAGTGGCTTTGAGGTGTCCCGTGATGGAGCCTTGGCCAGCAAGGCTGGGTCCCCGCGGTGCCCGTGTTCGAGATCGAGGGCCAGTAGGGGGCCAATGCGGAGAGGGGTCCTGTGTGAGCCGAGTCCCAGGGACGCCGGGTGAGCTGGGCTGTGGGGCTTCTGCAGCCGTCACGGCCTCGGCCCGCAGGTCCCGAGCGGGCTGTGCACTGCCCGGCGAGCGCCCTGCAGCCCCCGCACGGCTCTGCTGAAGGTGCCCAGCTGCGCCCTGCGAGGAGCTGGGTCCCGAGCCTGGGTGGCCCCGGACAGGCGCTGGCATCCTTGTCCTCGAAGTGGAGACCCCCTCCCTGCTTGCTGGTGTCTGCCGTGGGTCAGAGGGCACTGTGGGGACCAGCTCGCACGCGGACCCTGACTGGAGGCTGAGGCCGCTGGGAGGGAGGGACGGTGTCTCTCGGCCCAGCCGCCACCTCTCCGCTCTCTCTCCAGGTCCAGCTGCCACCCCGGCCCCCGTCAACCCCTTCCAGGTGAACCAGCCGCAGCCGCTGACGCTCAACCAGCTGCGAGGGAGCCCAGTCCTGGGCACCAGCGCGTCCTTTGGGCCTGGCCCCGGGGTGGAACCCCTGGCCATAGGCCCCATGACCTCCACGGCCCCACACCCCGCTCTGGGGGCCAGCAGTTCCACTTTGCCACCCCTGGGTCCTGCCGCGATGAACATGGTGGGCAGCGTGGGTGTCCCCCCCACAGCTCAGGCCACTGGCACAACCAACCCTTTCCTTCTCTAGTGCCTGGGCTGGGGCCCGCCCCGAGGAAGCGCCCAGAGCACCTGCCGGAGGACAGACGCCGAGCAGGGACTCTCGTGTGGCATGGCGCCTGAGCGTTTCAGGGTCGGGGTGCGAGGGCCCTTCGGTTCCAACCTCCTGAGCGGAGGGTTGTGCTCACAGCCCAACGCGCGATCCCGGCGGCAGGTGGGTGGCCTCCCCTCCTGAGGCAGGCCCACTCCTGCCGGCCCTCCCCCTGCGTGCTCAGGTCCTGGGGGGGCCTCAGACAAGGAGGTGCCGTGTCAGTGTGGCCCTTGTCCTCGCCCCTACCCCCAGCCCTAGGGACACCCCAGGCAGTCCCAGGTGTGGACAGGATGAAGCACCGGCTCCTAATCCTAGACACTGACCTTTGGGGGAGTGGTTGTGTATATTTTCTTTTTCTTTGACTCGTGCGTGCGGTCAAAGTGAACACCACCGTGGACAACTCCTGAATTAAATCCACTAGAGCGAGCTTTAAACTAACCCGAGCGTAACCCTGCCACGTGGCTCCGGGCTTGTGTACGTTTGCACATATTTCGTTTTAGTACAGTTTCATATTTGAGTTTGCAGAATTATCTAATAGTCTTTTTTTGGCTAATATTTTTATAACGTGGTTCTTATTTAACTGTCTAGTTTTGATAGAATTTACCAGGTCTGGCTGAATTAAGATATTGGCACGTGTCATTTTAGTGGTTTCGATCCTCTTATTTATGGTTTTAACTCTAAGAAAATTTTAAAAGGAGGAGATGTTTGGATGGCACACACACACACAAAAATGCCTTATGGAAACACTAAAAGCAAATTCTTTATAGGAAATAATATGGGAATTTGATTACACAGAAAAGATGATGTTTATTTAAAAAAAAAAAATAAGAAAGAAAAACTATAGCAGCAACAAAAACTCCTAGCCTCCGGTTGCCTTTTCCCTCCTCCGACTCCCTCTTCTGGTGAATTTCTAAGCTGACTTTCAGCCTTTTTGGGTAGGTCCCGAGAGAGGCTGTTTTTCTTATTGAAACCCCAACATCTTGGATGTTAAAGGAAAAAACTCTAATGTATGAATGTGACTCACCCGTTTTCATCAACTCATTCCTTTTGTAAGTGAAAGGCGCGCAGGGATTCACAGGGCCCTCTGTTTACATCGGAACTGGGAAATGGAAGACACCTTCACCTCCGTCCCTGCTCTCCTGTCTTAATCCGCGCTCAGGCGAAGGGCAGGGACCGTGTGGAAGTGCACATTGTCCTGGAGCGTGCCCACGGGTCCCCAGGCTGAGACGGGTGAAGGACCAGGGCCGGCCCTGATCCACCTGCCTGCTAACTCCAGACACGTGTGGGCAGACTGAGGAGTCATCGTCTCTCATTTGGAGATGGAGGAAAACATCTTACAAGGATAGATTTTTAACAAACACGCACCAATGTTGCCTCCTTGCAACCTCCTGTTGTCCTCACCCCGCCCACCACTGGAAAAAGAGTATTAGGTCGACTAGCTTCTCCCAGGGAAGGGACAGGCCCCCGAGCCCCGGGTGTCCCTGGCTTGCTTGGCCCCTGGGACTTCTCACTCCTGCTCCAAGGGCAGCCAACCCCTTGCGGGCCCCGTGTGGCTCGGAGAGCTGCCCTCAGCAAGGAGAGACTAGACCCGCTGGGCTCCAGGAGGGCAGAGGCCCTGAGCGAGCTGCCCTCATCCCAGCTGTCCTGAGGCTACTCTGGCCCAGAAGCCACCTGCCCGCTCCTGCCGAGCAACGAGGCCTGGGCTGGGCCTCTGGGCTCCCTGGCATTCGGGAAGCGTGGTGGGCGCTCTTCCTGCCTGGGGAAGGGGCGGGCAGGACACTGGCCCAGGAAGGTGCTTTCCCTCAGATGGGGTGGGCCCTGGACCAGCTTCACGGGCAGCGGCCCGGACGCCACTCCTGGGGGGAGAGTCCCTTGTAACAGACAGGAGCCCGCCTGACATGACCAAGGCCCCATCATGACAGCCCCCGCCCTGCCGCCGGCCCAGGCCATCCTGGGCCTGTGCACGACGTCCCTGCCACCCGCTGCACTGATCATGAAGCCACCGGCCGCTGCCACACGTGTCACGCATGGGCTGCCGGGCCCCTTCCCGTGGGCACCGTCGGGGGGGAGGTCCCCGCTGCTCTCAGTCCTAGGGGTCGGTGGCTGGTTTTGAACTTGTGTTGACTGTTGATACTTATTTACTGTATAAATATAATTTATCATTTGTACCATGATGTGGTTTCCAGCGTGTCCTTCCCCACCTGCCTCCGTCAGGCCTGTGTGCAGGGCCCAGGGCAGGCTGGGCAGCCGACTCCCACCTGGCAACCTGCACGGCCTGCTCTCAGGGAGGCCACTGACCGGCCTGGTGCTGGAGGGAGGAGCACGGGAGGCTGTGGAGTCCCTGCAAGACGCTGCCAGGCTCCTGCTCCGCCACGCGGACCTGCTTTGTGCCTGGGGCCCGAGGTGGGCTGGGGTGGCGCGCTGGCCCCCGCCGCCTGGCTTGTCCGGTGGCCGGGTATTTATTTCAGCCCTCCCACACACACCATGGGGTCCCGCCAGGCCCTGGGGTGGGGGTTGCTCCAAGCCAGGCGGGCCCAGCCTGTAAACCACCTGTTGTCTGCACCCCTGCCTCTAACAATGACCACAAACAGGAGTGGGGGTCATTGCACACGGGGCCACGGCACACGCCCCGTTCCCCAGAGGGAACCGCGGGCACAGCCATGGCCTCTGGTCCTTGGGGTGCTGGATCCCTGTGGTGCACGGGGTTGCCCTGCCCTGCGGCGGGGAGGGTTAGCCATGCTCTTCTTCCCCGGGGGCGGAGTGCCCACTTCACCATCCTCTGCTGGGCTCGCCCTTGACGCAGCCCCTGACCAGCCGAGGCGAGTGTCAGCGTGCGCTCCTTGGGGTGGCTTGGCCTGCCTGCCACCTGCACCTGGCGGGTCCGGGCCAAGACCTTTTCTCAGTGAGCCCACGCCTCGCGTCCCGGCTTGGGGAGCACGGAAGCAGTTTCTGCAAACACAGGCAGTCTTCCGAGCTCTGCTTCCGGTCAGTTTGAGCACAGATGACCGGTACTCTGGCGACCCCTGGGACTGTGTCTCCCAGCGTGGTCCCCTCCTGCACCAATCCCCGGCTTTGCCGTGGGACAGGACAGGGCTGGTGGGCACCAGCAGGCGTGATGGTCGCAGGGCTCCGCAGACACCCGTGTGCTGGGATCACCCTCAGGGCCGGTCCCGCTGGCAGCCGAGCCATGCCAGAGGCACCTCTGGCGGACCGCGAGGGGCGGCCCAGCCGACACCCTGTGAGCGCGAGCAGGGCTGCCTGCTGGCCGGCCTGTGGGGTCAAGCCACGATGAGTGGCCGTCGCTTCGGACCGCAAGGCTCCGGGGTAGCTCACACAGCAGCAGGTGACCGCACGTGACCCGCCGTCTCTGCTGCCGTCCCCTGTGCAGCTCAGCTCACCAGGTTCCACGAGGATGGCCGGGGCCACCAGGGCAAGGCCACCCTTCACCACTTGCCGAAAGACCGAGCGTCGTCGAGTCTCATTAGGCCATTTTTGTTCCACGTCATTTTCCATCTCTCCTCCCGGGTGACTTCTAGAAAGTCTCCCTTTCAACCTGTGGGGCCAGAAACGTCCGGGTCGTCTCCGTCCTCTTTCACAGCTGCTCGCCAGCCGGCCGTGTCATCCATGAGCGCGTTCCTGCTCGGCCACCGCGTCTGTCCCCTCCCTCCCCGCAGCCCGCCTCCCGGCGTGGCACAGGCTGCGTCTCCACGCCCCTGGGGGGCCTGCCGCCAGCCTGCCCTGTGCTCCTCCCGCCTCCATGCCGCACACCCAGAACCCCCACACCAGGCTCCTGTCGAGAGCACACGAGGCTGCACGGGAGCAAGGCGGCCCCAGCTCTGCAGACGAGGGACGTATTTCTCACAAAGTGCCCAACGGGGACGCTCTTGGCAGCTCCTCCCCGAGCTAGGACAGATGGGGCCAGCAGGTGGCATGGTGGTTAAGGTGCTGGACTCGCACATTGTCCGCTGCAGTTCAAGTCCCGGATCTGGTGGCTTGAAAACCACGCCAGGCACATGTTTATGCTTGTCCAAAATCCCGAGAGGAGAAGAGTCCTGAGAGGAGAACGGAGGAGAAGGGGTCACAGGGTGGCCGTCCCCCGAACGGGAGTGGTCTCGCACTTTCCCTCTCTCTGTCTTTTTCTGGCAAATACATGTGCCCTCTGACAAAAACCTTAAAAATAAAATTAAAAATAAGGGACCAGCAGTTAGCGTGATGGCTATGTCGCTGAACTCCCACGTAGTCAACTGTGGTTCGAGCCCCAGACCTGGTGGCTTAAACTCATGCCGGGCTCATGTGCATGCGTACCCAAGATCCCGAGAGGAGAATGGAGGAAAAGGGATTGCGGCGTGGCTATCTCCTCTGGGGGGTGATTTCTCGCTTTCCATCTCTCTGTCTCTGTCTTTCTGGTGAGTGCACATACCCTATAGCAAAAACTCTCCAAAAAATAAAGAAAGAAAGAAAATGGGAAGCCAGGCTCTTCCCTGGACCATATACTTCAGAAGGTGTGGACGAGAACAAGATGGACACATGGGGCAGCCCCACGGAGCTGACCCTGAGTGGCCAGCGTCTGTCAACATCCTTGCAACCCACGTTCCTTTGGCCAGGACTGCTCACGTGTGTACACCGAGGTATGAGGGGCCGGGAAATGTCTGCAGGCGTGCCCAGGGGAGAGAGGGAGAGCCTGGTGACCCCAGAGCTTTGTGACAGCAAGCAAGGGGTGGGCAGGGACATATGCTCCGTGTAGACTGTCATACGTGCCCGCCCTGGTCCCTACTTCCTGGGCACACACACACACACACACACACACACACATGCATGACATGCACCTTCAGCCTCACGGCAGTGGCCTGGCCCCAACCGGAGGGTGCGAGGTTTCCGAGGTGACCGGATCGGGGCGGGGTGTGCACTGGGCAGAAGTCGGAGCTCAGTGCACTCGGGATTTGTGCGTTCCGTGGTAACTGTTCCCGCAGAGGGAATAAAGACGCACATGGAGCTCTAACGTGAGGCCGTGCAGAGATGCGGAAGGCCGTGCAGAGACCTACTGCTTGCTCCTTTATTTATTTTGAGAGGTTTTTGCTACAGGGCACGTGCGCTCACCAGAAAGACAGAGAGACAAAGAGACAGAACGCGAGAAATAATCCCCCAGGGGGGATGGCCACGCTTCAATCCCTTCTCCTCCATTCTCCTCTCGGGATCTTGGGCATGCACACACACGCACCTGGCATGAGTTTAAGCCACCGTGTCTGGGACTCGAACCGCAGTCAACTACATGGGAGTCCAGAGACATAGCCATTACGCTAACTGCTGGTCCCATGCCACTGCTCCTTTTGAAATGCACTCAATGGGCTGGCCTGGTGTGGAGGTCAAGCCTGCCAGATCCCACATGGCCAACTGCGCTGTTCAAGTCCTGGGTTCAACAGCTTGAAAAGCAGGCCAGGCATGTGCGTGCCCAAAATCCTGAAAGGAGTGGGGCGAGGGACCATCCCCCATGGGGGGCGCCTCCCCCCTCTCCCTGCCTCTTGCCAGCACACGCACCCTCTAGCAAACTGTAAACAAAGAAACGCACTAGAAACCAGTTGAGATTAGTGGGTACATGTGAGGATCCAAGTGCAGGAGAATGCTGGCGGGAGAGTCTAGATGCTGGGTAAGCGGCGTTCGTTGTAAGATTACGTCCACTTCCGGGCCAACAGGTCGTGTAGTGGGTAGGCACTGGACTCCACGTGGCCACTGTGGTTTAAGTCCCGGACCCGGCAGCTTGAAGCTCGAGCCGGGTGAGTGTACATACATGCCCAAAATCCCAAGAGGAAAATGGAAGAGAAGGGACTGCAGTGTGGCTATCCCCCCAGGGGCTGATCTCTCACTTTCTGTCTGTCTCTCCAGTGAGCACACGTGCCCTATAACAACAGCAACAAAAATTTCTCTAAAAAAATGATCCACTTTTGTATGTTTAAACATCTTAATGATGCTGGGGAAAACTGAACGTGATGGGAAAAGGGTGGCCACTTTGCCACGCTGCTCACAGGCATTTGTGACCTGGGGCTCGAACACGGACTTGACAGGGTGTGGCGTCGGGCAGTGACTGGCCTGTGGGGGGCGAGGGTGTGGACAGAGGAGACAGCTCTTCGGGGAGCACAGTGAAGCCGGCGGAGAGGTGGAGTGGCCAAGGTGCTGGTGTGTGGGCGTTTTTTGGTGTTGAGGTTTTTGCCATAGGGCGCGCCAGAGACAGAGAGGGAAAGTGAGAAACCACACCCCGGGGGGATGGCCACACCATAATCCACCACAACTCCATTCTCCTCCTGGGATTTTGGGCACGCACGCACACACACCCAGTGTGTTTTTTAAGCTACCAGGTCTGGGGTCGGCCCTGTGGAATCCCAGAGCCTTAACCACCCCACCACCTGCTGGCCCTGGGCAGTTTCCGATGTGAGAGCAGGCGTGGGGCAATGTGGGTGGCCCTGCAGAGCCCCTGATGCAGGAAGAATCGAGCCCTGTGGGTGAGACACCTGAGGAGTGGCCACAGGTGGGACCAGAGGCAGCACGGTGGTCAGCCGGGGGACATGGCGCTGGGGACTGGAGATGCAGGAGTTCTCCGAGCGAGGGAAGCCGTGGGAGCCCAGCGGGGCTCTGGGCAGACCAGGGCCAGTGGGCCCAGGGTCGAACGCGGGTGGGTGGCTCATGCCGAGGCTGTAGAGCGGCAGGCGACAGTGGCTCTTGCAGGGGCACCCTGGCACTGCCGGGGGAGGGAGGGGCATGGCCCGAGCGCACAGGTAGCTCGGCACACTCTGAGCCACAGGGAAGAAAGTGAGGAGAGGGACACGGCCAGCCTGGGAGGGCCGAGAGGACTGCCGGGGTGGGGGGCCGTGGTCCCCACTGACCGAGGGACACTCGGGCTGGACCTTGGAGGCGACGCAGCACTCGTAACGGCACGCTCTGCCTGTGTGGGCGGCCGCCAGGGCATGGCAAGTGAGGAGGTTGTTGCATGGAACAGCGGTGCCACCAACAGCCCGGGCAAAGGGTGGTGGGCCAGGTTGCCAGTGCCGGCTGTCCGCACAGTGGTGTGGTCTGACAGTTGGCCTCAGGACTCTGGGGTGACAAGCAGGGACGAGCGGCCGTCTGGAAGTGCTGACGGGGGCCAGGACACGCCGCCTGCAGGCCACGGTGCACGGGTGTGCGTGATACGCTGCAGGAGGCGGGAGGCTGCGCAGCCTCAGCCTGGGCCACAGGGCACAGGTTGCTCTGCAGAGGGCAGGACCACGGGGGGTTGCTGATGGCAGGCTGCGGGCCAGCCCACAGGGACTTGGGGGCAGGGGGCAGCAGGAGTGTCCTGAATCACAGGGCAGGAGAGGGCCCTGGCCTCCCCAGGGCGGTGTCCTGGCTAGGGCGGGCCCAGCACCCGCATCGTGCCTGCTGAGGAAAGCCCCTGGCTAGCAGGGGCTCGGGTACCTGCCCGCAGGGGCTTACCTGAGGCCGACTCCACACACCAGGCCACTGTGGGCAAGGGGAAGCTCTGCGGCCTCGGTGCCCTCCCCGTGATGCCCAGGGCAGTGTGCACTCAGAGGGCTCAGTTCCCAGGGCGGCCCAGGCCACTTCTGCCATCAGGCTGACTTCATCTGAGGTCCCTGGGGCACCCCACCATCAGCCCCTGCCCAGGGAAGCTGGCGGGCACGGCCCTGGCTGGCGTGACCGGCACGAGGACACCGACCCCGGGGTGGATGGTGTGCCCACTTTGGGGCTGAGTGTGCTGAGGCGCAGGCCCGGGTTGTGGCAGTGCTCACGCTGCAGCAGCGGACGTCCCGGCCTGTGGAGGTCTGGCCACTTCCACTGGGCACCCCCACCCCTGCAGTGCTGGCGAGGACGGTCCTGGAGGCCGGGTCCGGAAAGGCCACAGAGCCCCAGCTGCTCCCATGGCAGGAGGCACCACGCAGGAGAGGCAGTGGCTGAGCCGGGCTTGTGAGAACGGGACTCTTTATTATATAAAGCTTTTCTGTACACCTCCAGCCCCCAGGCGCGGGTGCCCTGCCTGCCAGGTCGGGCGCCCCTGGAAGACCCTCCACGTTCTGAGTGCTGTCCGGTCTGCCTGGCCCGGCCCAGGGTGGGCAAAGGCGGCCCAGAGCCTTCCCAAGGTGCCTAGGGCAGGCAGGGGCCCGAGACGCCCTGTGTGTCCGCAGGCCCGGGGTCGTAGCCAAGCTTCCTCATGTCCTTGGTCACCACGTTGAAGAGGAGGGTGACAAAGCCCTGAGAGCGCACGCGGGTCACTGGGGACAGAGAAGCAGCATCAGGTGGGCCGCACGGGGCAGGCAGACCCCCCACCAGCCTCGGCACGCTCCTGTACTCTGGGACAGCGCTGGCCCACCTCCCTCACCTGAGAGGCCCCAGCTGCCTGACAGGTCCCTGGAGTCTGTCCCCACCTCGCTCCTCCCCAGGCTCCCACCCGCCTGTGGGGTAGGTGGGGTTAGGGCACCAAGCTGTACCTTCCCGGCCTTCGCCCTGGGCCACCACCTTGGGGTCAGTGTACTCGGGCCGCCGTCCCATAAACCAGCTGGGGACATAGAACACGGGTGAGCAGGGCTCCCACCTGGCCATCCCTGGCTGTCACTCTCATTTCAAACCCAGCGTGCCCCTCCAACCACCCCCAACCCCCGGCACCTCTGGTCTGGGTCCCAGGTGGCTTCTGACAGGCCAGGCACTCTGTGACTAGCCTCCCTGAGGGCCCCACCCCAGTGGGCGGGGACAGAGGGCCCAGACTGGGGCTCCCGGGCTCAGCCCCTCAGTAGGATGATGGAGGACGGCACTGCCCACCCCAGATCTCAGCTTCACCCCGTGACAAGGCTGCACCGGCACCTGCATGGTGAGGCTGCAAAGGAAGGCCTCAGCCAACCCAGGAAATGCTATCCTTCCGCAGAGGCTCTGGCCTGGTGCTCTGGGGTGACAGCTGGGCCCTGCCCCTCCACGGGGTGCTCTGTGCATCCAGGTACCTGCCCAGGCCAGTCCTGCTGAGCTGGCCGCCCTGCCTGGCCCCTGTGCCCTGTCCCAGGGAAGCCCTAAAGGCTCGGGGTGCTGCCCTCGCCCCCATGTGCACCTGAGTGGGCGGCCGCCCAGGCCTGCCCCTGACACACCCACTGGAGCTCTAGAGGAGCACAATGCCGGAGTGCAGCTGCAGGTGCCCAGGAGCTCGCTGCCTCCGGCGTGCATGGAGCCCTGGGCCCTGCACCTCATCAATAGCTTGGCTGGGCTGTGTCCTCCCCAGGGGCAGCTCCCAGGGAAACAGGGCGGGGCCTGAGCTGCAACTGCTGAGATGGGGTGGGGAGGGCCCCAGTAACCACCCCACACGTGCATGGAGGCGGTCGGGCTGCCGGCTTGCACTGGTGGGAAGAGGCCAGACCAGGGGTGCTGCCCCCTGGCCTCCCCCACCCCAGCCCAGGGTTCCAGCCAGGAGCCGCGCATTCCAAAGGGGCTGAGTGGGAGGCCACAGCCTGTGCCTCAGTTTTCGATCTGTAGAGCAAGGCTCCGGCTCTCCTGCACTCTGGAGTGGGCTGCTCCTCTGCCTGGCGGGGCGGGACGGGAAGGGACAGACGGCTCAGAGGCTGTTCCCACAAGGGCTGGGTGGGCTGCAGGAACTGAGGCAGCTGGCAGCGGGGCAGGTGGGCCGCAGCCAGGCCCGCTGGCCAAGGCAAGGGCAGGGAGAGGCCGACAGGTCCTGCTTGCAGGGCCAAGGCAAGGCCAGGGCGAGGCTGACAGCTCATGCTTGAAGTTTATCCTAAATGAAAGGGAAGGGCTGGGTGGTCCCCAGCAGGGGAAGGGAATGGGCTAGATTGTGCTTGAGGAACCGTGAGGCGACCCCGGAGGGGCTATGGATGCTGCAGAAAACCGAGTGCGACCGTATTTGGGAAAAGGGTCTTCAAAGGTGTGACTAAGGGTCTGGGAGCAGGACACTATCCCGGGGCCCTGAAGGTGGCACTCGTCCTCACGGGAGGGAGCCCACCCGCACAGAGGGCCGTGTGACCCTGCAGGCAGAGATGGAGGGCTGGGCGGGCTGTCCACAGTCCCAGAGGCCGCAGAGGCGGGGAGTGGAGCCTCCCCAGCGCCTCCCGAGGGAGCGTGGCCCTGCCGCCTCATTCTGGCCCAGTGATGAGGACTTCGGACCCCGGCCCTCACAACCGCAAGAATACATGTGTGCTGTAAGCCACCCGGTGTGGTCGTTTGCCGCAGTGGCCACAGGGGCCAGGGCCATTCTGGGCAGGCCCATTAGGCTGAGGATGGGGAGGGGAGGCAGAGGAGGGGGCACTGAGGGTTCTGGGAGACGGGGCTGGGTGGGCCTGAGTGCACATCTGGAAGATTCTGCCCACCAAACTGCCTCCCTCCCTGCAGCCCGAGCACACGCTGAAGTCGCCCCTTCCCCCACCTGTCATGCTGCCTCACTCACCTGGAGCCCTTCCCAGGTGTGCGCTCGCAGGGGCTGGGACGGGGGCAGTGCCTGCCAGGCGGCTGCCCCAGCCCGACGGGCACCGCCCTGCCGCTCCCCAGCCACCCCGAGGGGTGAGTGAGGCCACCTCCCAACGCCGGCCTGGGCACCCAGCTAAGCAGTCAGGTGGGTGCCCATACTCCTGAGCCGAGGTCAGGGGGCCTCCTCGCCGTCCCTCTGCCCAGCAGGACTCCGGCCAGTTCTCACCCCAGGCACGCAAAGTGCTGCTAGCCAGGGCCAGGTGGTCCCCACTTCCCCCACCCTCGCTGACCTGGGGGTGCAGCAGGACTTGGAGCTGAGCTGAGGGGCTGTCATGCCCCTCGGATGTGGTTGATGCGAGAGGCCTTCCCGCAGGGGCTCCCCACAGGCCGCAGCCCGGCCCCCTGCCTCCACAACAGCTCCCCCGTACTCCCTGCTCACAGCATAGCAGCCACACCAGCACCCCGGTGCTCCTCAGGGCTCTGCAACGCCCTCCTCAGCCTGGACGGGCTGTCCCCGGGGCCTGGACCGTCCTTCCCAGGTCTTCCGTGCAGCCCCCTGCCTCCACTCCAGTCACTGCCCGAATGTCACCTCGGTCTCCCACGGGTGAAGGCAGGACGTGATGGACAGACAGGAGCCACTGCATGCCCACGCGGAGTGTGTGGCTCACCCTGCCGCGCCTCTGGCAGCACTTTCGGACGCCGCACCTGCCAGGGGCCTTTTCTCATCTGAGCAGAACCCCCCGCTGCCCCGGACCCGGGGGTCAGTGACGGCCGTGGAGTTCAGCCACATGCTCTGGCTGCTGGACGGGGACAGGCGGGAGCCCAGGCGCCCCGCCCACCCCCCCGCCGCTTCCTCTGCCCCTCGGGGAGCAACTGGAATTTGACAAGGTTACCAGGCTCGTATGCGGGGCACAATGACGTCACTGTCCATGCCCAGGACACGTGAAGCCACGGTGGGAGGCTCACCTGGTAAATTTTTGCAGTTTAGACGTAGATTCTGGGACAAACATGGGGATGGTCCTTTTGTGCCTGAAAAGAATGTTCCCAAAGACAGCCATGCTGGGTACCAGCAGGCAGGGGCAGGGGAAGGCCAGGGTGGAGGCCAACAGCCCCAGGGGCCCTGACTGAGGCGGGATGCAGCTGCACACGCAAACCTGAGCCCGGGGGTGCTGGTTCCTTCCAGCCTGCCCTCCCCAGCCAGCCTGGTGTCTGGCAGCAGCAGGAGCCTCCCCGTCCCTCCCCCCAATCCCTCCCACGTGGGGCTCCTCCCACGACAAGCTGCACCCCTCCCCCTCCATGTGGAATTGCCCAGGCCCCTGGGGGCCCCAGAGCACATGCCTGAGCCCAAGACTGGAGAGGACTGGTGTGTGTCCCAGGAGAAGCCCTGCCGAGGTGCCCTGGTGGCCCAACAGGGGACATGAGAACCTACCGGCCAGGTGAGAAGGGCAGGTGCACCGCCCCGTAGCCTCGGACCACGTCGTTCCCGAACACGTCCGGTCCGTACACGCTGAGCACAATCTGTGGCCCTGGGAAAGGCAAAGCGGAGGCACGGGAGGTGAGGGCATGGAACGGGTGTGCCCAGCCGGGAACAGCGGCGCGCTCGGTGGAGGGCAGCGCAGACGTGGGAACCCCGAAGCCACCCAGGGCTCCTGCACGCACTGAGCCCTGCCCTCAGAGCTGGGGGACAAGCCGGGCTGAGCGATGGACACAGGAAGTGCCTCCGAGGACCCACTGCAGGCCCTGGGCTCGCTGTGAGCAGCCAGAGGGCCACTGGCCTTTCTGATGGTCACACTCAAGCATAGGCCGGGGGCCGGGACTGATCTGGGGGTGTCAGACAAGCTGGAGAGAAAGCAAAGACCAGCCGAGCCTCCTTTGGAATAGCACCCAGGACCCTGCTCCCTGGCAGCACCGAGGACAGGGTCCTTGCGCCTGGCCAGCTTCTCTGGCCTCGACCTGCAGGGGGCGATCACTGCCCAGGTGGCAGGTGAGGCCCGGAGGACTGGAGATCCTGCAGCCACTACTGAGTGACCCTGCAAGTTTCCTCACCTCTGAGACCCCCAGAACAGGGCCTGCCACACAGTGTGTGCTCAGTGGGAGAGGCTGGCCCCTTCTCATGGCTCCCCTCCCCACAAAGGCAGCCGCTGTTCGAGTTCGGGAAACCCCCTCCCTAAGAACGCAGTCCCCACACAGTACTTGAGGTGCTTTATCCAGTTTTTTAAAATGTATAGGGTCAGGGCCGGCAGGTGGCATGGTGGTTAAGGCACTGAACTCCCACGTGGCTGACTGTGGTTCAAGTCCAAGACCTGGCAGCTTGGTTTTCTCACTCTCCCTTTCTCTCTCTGACCAGCTCTGGTTAAATTAAAAAATAACAACTGGAGTTAGATTAATAATTTTTAAAAAATCATAGGGGCTAGCAGATGTAGTCGTTAATATGGCTGTATCCATCAGGACCAACTGTGGTTCAAGTCCTGGACCCTGCAGTTTGAAAATCAATGCCGGGGGGATCAGCAGTTAGTATAATGGCTATGTCGCTGGACTCCCACAGTCGGACCGCGGTTCGAGTTCCAGACCTGGTGGCTTAAACTCACGCCGGGTATGAGTGCATGTGTACCCAAGATCCGGAGAGGAGAATGGAGGAGAAGGGATTGCGGCGTGGCCATCCTCCCTGGAGGGTGATTTCTCACTTTCTGTCTCTCTGTCTCTGTCTTTCTGGCGAGCACACGTGCCCTATAGCAAAAAAGCTTCTCAAAAAATAAAATCAACGCTGGGTATGTGTGTGTGTGCCCCAAACCTCAGGACAATGGAAGAGACGAGACTGCAACATGGCCATCCCCTCCCTTCCCCCAGGGCTGATTTCTCGCTTCCCCTCTCAGTCTCTCTCTCTGTGTCTGGCAAGTTCATGTGCCCTATGGCAAGCCTTAATTATTTTTTTTATAGAAAAGGAATTATCTCTTAATTTGTTTTTTAATAGAAATGGAACGGTCTAGTGTGTATACTTTGGTCCCAGGGTCTCCAATTCCATACCGTGTTCCTGTGAGTCCCTTGGGTGGCTGCGTTACAGGCCTGCTCACCCTCTGCTGTGTGACATTCTGCCATGGGAAGGTCCCATGAGGACTGCTCGCTCCAGTGCTGACAGACACAGGTGGCTTCTCCGTTCGGGCTGTTCCCAAGGAGAGGCTCCGAGGCTCTCGTACAGGCCCTGTGCCCACGTCTCCGCAGGGCATGTACCCCAGGGGATCACACAGGGCATGTGTACACTGGGTTCCAAAAGGTAACGCCAGGCTGTCCTCCAGGACGTCGTTTCGGCCCACACCCCCGGTGTGCACCCGAGTTCTGCACCGTCTCACGGGACGGTCTCTCGACGTGAGCGATCCCAGTGAGTGAACACGCGTAGCTGTGGCAGCTTTAGTTAGCATCTTCCCTGAGTTTACATTTTTCTTACTAAAATGAGGTTGACATCTCTTGTTTCTTGTTTCCTTGGATAGCCTCCTCTGTGAAGAACCTGCTCGAGTCCCTTGCCAATTGCAGGCTCCGTAATCCAAATTATGCTGACTAGGGCTGGCCCAGTAGTGCAGTGGTTCGGGGAGCTGCATTCCACATGGCCGACCATGGCTCAAGCAAGCCATGGCCTCGGTGGCTTGAGAAACATGCCAGGCATGAGTGCATGGATGCCTCAGATCCTGAGGGGACAGAGAGGCCGAGGAAAAAGAGCTGCAGCAGGACCACGTCCCGTGTGGGTATCTTCTCCTTCTCTCTCTGGCAAAAGGAAAAAATAACAAGATTATGTTGACCTCTCCACAAAAAAAAAAAAAATAGTTGGGGAATACTTAATATAGTCTACGAGTATTACTATTTTTGTTGTTGTCAGCAGCTCTGTGTACTCACCAGAGACAGAGAAAGGGAGATGACGAAAGCAGCCCTCAGCGGGGGCGTGGTCATACCACAATCCGTTCTCCTCCTTTTTTCCAGCCTATTGAGATCTGGGGCACACACACACACACACACACACACACACGTGCCAGGTGTGTTCAAGCTGCCAGGGCTGGGACTCAAACTGTCCAGCTGGCCATGTGAGCTCCAGCTCCCTTAACCATTAGGCCATGGGGCCAGCCCAGTATCTTCCTAGATTAAGCCTGATGTTATTTTTGGTAGAATTGGTTATATTTGGTAGAATTCATGATGAAGCCATTTGGGCTTAGTGTTTTGTTTTCTTTTTTTTTTTTTTTTTTTTGAGAGATTTTTGCTATAGGGTGCATGCACTCACCAGAGAGATAGAAAGTGATAAATCAACCCCCGCACCCCCACCCAGGAGGATGCTCACAATGCAATCCCTTCTCCTCTCAGGATTGTGGGCATGCGCGTGCACGCGCGCGCACACACACACACTGTGAGTTTTAAGCTGCCAGGTCTGGGACTTGAACCACGGTCAACCACATGGGAGTTCATTATGCCATCTGCTGGTCTCAGTTTTCTTTGTAAGAAAATTTAAATTTATGCATTCAATTGAACAGATAGATAACGCTCACTATATGTCCGTTTTCATAGTTTCATTTTCCTAGCAATCAATTTGACCATTTCCTCAAACTTGCCGAATATTGTTTTGTTATGTCTTCCGTAATGGCATCTCCTTCTTCACTCCTGCCATTTCTGTGTTCTCTCTTCCTTGATCAGTCTTAATATGGACTTCACAGTTTCAAAGACCACTTTGTGCCTATTTTCATTTCCTTGACAGTATTTGGCTTTCGGCTGTTTTATGACCCTGTGCCTAGGTGTAGGTTTACCATTATCCTGCAAGGTCTGTCTTGAATCTGTAGCTTGATGTCTTCCATCATTTTTTAAAACAATTACAGCTATTTATGACATCCACCATCAGTCTTGTTCTGGCCTTTCCTCGTCGGGTTCTAGACACGTAGGACTAACTTCCTGTGTTCTGTCTCCTGCTCTCTTTGCATTTTCCATCACGGTATTTCTGTTTCATCGCGTTTTCCTTTGACGTAGCTTTCAGTGTATCTTTTCAGTTATATTTAATCTACTAAGCTCCTGCTTTTGGTTATTTTACAATTCTAGAATTTTTCTCTTTATTCACGATAAAGCATGTGTACGTGTACAAGAGAGAGAGAAGCACCTTCCATCACGTCTGTTTGTGCGTGATTTCTTCCTTTAGCCTTCCAGCCCAAGAGATCCTGGGCACTCGTGTGTGTGCCCACTGTTTCAGGCTGCCTGGGCCAGGGGCCCAAACGGTGGACCTCATGTGGGATCCAGCTTCTCTCGAGCAGAACATTACCGCTCTCATAGAGCCAGACTAATTCTATAATCTTTTCTTTTTTAAAAGAATTATTTTATTTAACTTTATTTATTCATTTATTTCATATTAATTTGACCAGAGAGGGGCAGAGTGAGAGCAAGAGAAAGACAGTGAGAAAGCCAGCCACCAGGTCTGGGACTCAAACCATGATTGGCCATGTGGGAGTCCAGCGCCATTAATCACCGTGCCACCTGCCAGCCCCAATTCTAGAATCTTGACTAGAATCTTAAAGAAAGGTATCAGACTAGCCCAGGCATAGCGGTGTAAGCGGGAAGGTACAGTGACATGGCAGCTGGCGTGGCAAGGGAAGCCTGCACTCAGCTCCCGGCCCAACCGGAAAGGCTGGGGACAGTGGTGTGCGTCTGCGGTACTCGCCAGCTGGGAGACTGGAATGGGGGACTACAACATGGCAAGACCCTGTCCAAAACATACCCCTCTCTCTCTTCTCTCTCCTGCATTCTCATTTTTAAAAAAAGGGGGGGGAGTCAGACTTTCCACCGCTCTGCTATAATCCTCGATACTGCACTTTATCTTGGTCTGGGTCACGTGGCACGCAGCGACCATGCAGCATCTGGAGAGCCTGTGTCTCCGTCTTATCCTTGCTGGGCATCACGCACGCTCTCGTCCCTGCGTGCCTCTCCTGCACCACAGGCCCGACACTGTGTCGGGGAAAATACAGACAGAAGTGGAGGTCTATGAGATGCATCTTGCTCTAAAGAGCGGGCTTCCTTGCCTTGGCCGGGTGTCTGGGAGCTGCTGAATCCACACACCAGGGGCTTGAACGGAGGGGCCAGCTGCGGTCCCCTGGGGCTGCTCTGTGTCCCTCCCTCCCACGGCAGTCTTTGAGGTCTAAACACACCTGGGCCTCCCCAGAGGCCCTTGGAGAGCTCTAAACACCAGTTTTTGTGCCCTAAGGCCAGAGAGGCCTCACAGGTGTCAATCTCCTGGAATCAGCAAGCTCTGCGGGGAGGGAGGGAGAGGTGTGTGTGTGTGTGTGTGTCTGTCTCTCTGTCTGTCTGTCTGTCTGTCTCTTTCTCTGGCAAACCTCCACTGCTCTGCTCTAATAGCCCTCCGGGCCTTCTGTTCTCAGTGCTGTACTCAGTGCTGTACTCACTGCTCCCAGCCGTCCGCAGTTGGGAGGGCACTGTTCCAGAAGTCTCTCAAAGCTGTCCCCCTCACAATGATGACAGCAGGACGCAAGCCCCTGCTGGCCAGGCAGCCCGAACAGCCTCTCTGCACCTGGTAAGCCTGGGCCCAGGCCACAGTAGCAGAAGGGCCGGCACCGTGAAGGCAGGTGGGTCTGAATTCAGCTCCCTACTCGGCTGCCTGGTGTGAGGCTGGGGTAAGTGAGGGCACCACTTTGCATCTTCGTTCCTCAGAAGTGCACCCACCAGGCAGGACAGGGAAGCCTGGACGAGCTTCGAGGGGAAGTATGTAACCCTCAGGGCGGGTCGCCCTGGCCTTTGCCCACAGTGGGCAAGTGAGCGTGAACACTCCGCACGGCTGACAACTACCGGACAGGGTGGCAGTCAGACACAGGGTGTGGGAAGGGCATCTGGGCAGAGGGAACAGCCCGAACAAAGGCTCGGCAGAGCGAACTTGAGGGACTAGCTTGGGAGGAGCACGTGTTAGGGTCTGGCTGGAGCAAAACACGCGATGGGAGGCTGAGGGGCTCGGGAGCCTGCCCTCCACAGGCACAGCGGCTGGCAGAGGCGTGGGGCTGGCCTGGCCGGGCGCTCAGCTTCCAGGTCAGGACAGCATGCCGGACACGAGCGGGTGGGGTGGAGAGGACGGCAAACAGCCCGGGTACCGGCAGTGGGCAGTGACCCTGGGAAGGTGGGCAGCGGCTGTCCTGGGGGCCCCGGGGGAAAGCTCCAGCCCCTCCCTGCAGGGCCCTGCAGACTCACAGCCATAGGGGTTGGTGCTCTTGAAGGTGACGTCGATGGGGAAGTTCCACACCAGCGCTTGCCGCACGTCCTGGCTCTTGGACGTGATCTGGGAGATGCCCTCCTCCAGGCCCTGGGGGACAGTGACAGCGCCTGCTGGTGTCTGAGCTCAGGGCGCCACAACCTCACTTACCTAGGGCGGGCAGCTAGGAGCGCGGTTTGCTCAACCCTCTTCTCCCGAGACACTAACTTTCAAACGGAGGGACTGGGAACCAGCAGTTAGCATAATGGCTATGTCACTGGACTCCCACGTAGTCGACCGCGGTTCGCGTCCCGGACCCGGTGGCTTAAAACTCACGCCGGGCGCGTGTGCGTGCGTGCCCAAGATCCCGAGAGGAGAATGGAGGAGAAGGGATTGCGGCGTGACCATCCCCCCTGGGGGGTGATTTCTCGCTTTCTGTCTCTCTCTCTCTGTCTGTCTGGCGAGCGCCCGCGCCCTATAGTGAAAATCTCTCCAAAAAAAAAAAAAAAAAAAACGGAGGGACTGAGCGACGCGGAGCACTGTGTGGGCCTGGTACTTCAGTGCCTCATCCCGTCAGAGCGTGACAACCGCGAGCCAGCTCCGCTGCAGGCTCTGGTCGGGAGCTCCCGCCTCTCAGAAGGCGACGGCACCGGCAGCCTCGGTGACCTCTCCTCCTGCATCAGCAGTCCGCCCGGATCGCGGCCGCCATGCCCATGTAGCCGCTATTTTCTCTATCAAAAACAGTTCTCTCTTGACTCTACTTTTTTTTGTAGTTATTGAGGTCTTTGCCAGAGGGCATGTGCATCTGCCCAAAAGAGACAGGGGAGGGAAAGTGAGGACTCACCCCCCGGAGGGATGGCCACAGCACAATCCCTTCTCCTCCATTCTCTTGAGATTGTGGGCCCGCGCACACACACATGGCAGGAGTGGTTTTCAAGCTACTGAGTCTGGGACTTGAACTGTGGTAAGCCCTGTGGGAGCCCAGAGTCTTAACCGCCATGCCATCTCCTGGCCCCTTTGACTCTACTTTTTTCTCCACCTCCCAGCTGGTTCTCTGTTCCGTCCTGTACAGCAGAAATCCCTAAAGGAGCTGCACACCACCGGCTCCACCTCCTCCGCTGCTCTCCCACTGCACCCAAGACCTTGGCCGGGCTGTCCAATGGTCATTTCCGTCCTCACATTACTTGATTCACCGGCAGCCTGCAGCAGAGCAGATTCACTGCTTTATTTATTTATTTCCTTATTTATTTTTAATTGCTAAAAGGCTCTGTGCTCACCAGGAGACAGGAGCGGTGGAGAAAGGAGGAGCAAGTACCCTCTGGTAGGGCGTGGCCCTGCCCCAATCTCTTCTCCTCCATTTCTCCATCCTGGAGGGAGTCTGGGCACACCCGGGCCGGATGTGTTTCTCAGGCTGCTGGGGCTGGGATTCGAACTGTGGTCAGCCACGAGGGATTCAGCTCTCTTAAGCTCTGGGCCACGGGGCCAGCCCTGGCCTGTTCCCTGGTACACTTTCTTCCTACGGTCTCTCTGGCCCTTTCCACCTCAAGAGGTGGCTCCTGCCCCGTTGCTCTGTGCGTCCTCCTCAAGTGGGTGCCCGAGGCTGTCCCCAGCCCGCTTCTCCACCTGCACCCGGTGACCTCACTGGCCTCCTGGCACTTACTGTGGCCCACGCGTCCACAACTCCCGGTCACCTCTGCACTCCAGATCAGTACTGCCACCCCACTGCCCACCGCATCTCCGCCTGCAACCTAGCAGGTACCTCATGTCGCTGGCAGGCTGAGCGCAACGGGTCTCCCCACCGCCCCAGCCCGTCCTCACCACAAGGCAGCCCTCCACCTCCAAGTGCTCCGCCACAAACCCCGGCGTTGTCCGTCGCTGTGAACTCCTTTTTCTCTCGGACCTCACATCTGGCCCTTGGCTTGCTCTTCAAACTACGCTTGAGAGCCAGCCCTGCTCCCCGCGCCCACTGCCACCCTGCCCCGGCTCGGCTGTGCTGCACAAGGCTGTCTCCTGCTCCTCCCCTGGCTCCTGCATGGCTGCCCGTAGCACAGGAGCCAAAGTGGTTTGTTTTTTAGATTTTTGCCATAGGGCACATGCCCTCAGTAGAGACCGAGGGAAAGTGAGGAGCCACTCCCCGAGGGATGGCCATGCAGCAGTCCCTTCTCCAGCCTCTTCCCAGGATTCTGGGCACGCACGTATGCTCAGCATGATTTTCAAGCTGCTGGCTCCAGGACTCAGACTGCAGAGTTGGCCATGTGGGATCCAGCACCTTAACCACCACGCCACCTGCTGGCCCCAAAGAGAGCTTTTTAAAACATAAGTCCGCCCATTTTTTTTCTGTTTAAAAACTCTCGGACGAGGTCCCATCTTCCTGAGCAAAGGTTGTGGTCCTTTTTCCATCCCTGCAAGATCTGCCCCATGCCTTCCTGCTTGGCCTTCCTCACTGTCTGCCGCCCGCGGGCCTCCTGACTGTCCCTGCCTCGGGGCCTCTGCACTCGCCACCCCTTCTTACTTTTTTTTTTTAAGAGGTTATTTTTTTTTTTGCTCTAGGGCGAGTGCACTAGCCAGACAGACAGAAAGCGAGAAACCGCCCCCCAGGGGGGATGGCCACGCCGCAATCCCTTCTCCTCCATTCTCCTCTCGGGATCTTGGGCACACACGCACACGTGCCCGTTGTGAGTTTAAGCCACCGGGTCCGGGACGTGAACCGCGGTCGACTACGTGGGAGTCCAGCGACATAGCCATTACGCTAACTGCTGGTCCCCACTTGCCGTCCCTTCTGCCTGCTCAGTTCTTCCTACAGATTTCCACGTGGCTTGTTCCTCACATCAGGCCTTTGCTCAGGCTTCCTTCTCGGCGAGGCCTTTCTTGGCCACCAGCCCTGGGCTCCAGCCTCCCTCTCATCCCTTCCAGCTCCCGGCCTGCCTCCATTTCCCTCAGCTCTTACAGTCAGCAACCCTGTACAGGACTGTGTCCTCCGCCTGGCCTGCTCACCACTGGACCCCGCCCAGACCCCCCCAGAGCTGTGCAACACACGGTGCGGGCAGTGGGGCTGTCTGGGTTGCACGGAGCAGGACACCCAGCTGGGAGGTCTCCACGCTCAAACTGCTGTGGGTGGACGGGCCCTGCCCACCGTAACATGCCGCCAGCAGAAGCCCTCGGTGCAGTCCCTCTCCCAGTGGGGACAGTACTCCTTGAACACCTGGGAGGAGGCTGCTGTGCTGCCTTCCAGCTCTCCAGAATGAGCCCCTGCTGAGGAGAGACCATGTGCACAGGGGATGGCCCGAGCGCCGTGGCCAGCCACCCAGGCTGGCTCTCCGAGGCGTGGGCTCGTGGGGCCGGGGCGTGAGCGCACAGTCTCTGGGGGACAGGTCGGGGTGCCTGGCAGTGGCTGGGTTCTCATTTCCGCTCTCTGCGTGGGGCCCTCTGCACTCGGTATCTACCTCACGACTAGTCTGAACAGGAGGGAAGGGTGTGGGGGACCCCTTTAGGAACTCAGACAGCTGTGAGGGCCACGAGTGGGGAGGCGTGCCCAGCTTACCGCAGTGGGGGCCCAGTCCTGGCCGTACACGAAGCAGTACTTGCAGTAGAGGTCGTCGTACTCGGGGAACTGTGGGCAGAGCACACGAGGTCGTTCACAGCGCTCAGGGCAGGCCACTGTCGGCTAAGCAGGTGTGGCCAACAGGAATCCTGAACACGAGACACCTGGGGCGGGCCTGAGCCAGCTGGGATGTGGACATGGGGGCTGGTAGAGGCTGGGGACCGAGACATGGGGGTCTGAGGAAGAGGTCCCTGGGCCTTTACTCAGGCTCCGCTGTCTGACATGCCTGTCCCAACTGTTCCCGCGGTGAACTCCTACTCACCCTTCAAAACCGACCCCTCCAGGAAGCTGCACCACTCCCAGGCTGGTTTAAGAGCTACCACGTGGTCCTTTGGCTCCTGTGCCTTCCCCACTGACCGCCAATCACTGGCCTGTGCCTCCCCACCCCGTTAAGATCTGAAGAAGGGACAGGGCTGATGCCTGTGTCCCCAGGGCCTGGCCCGGGCAGTGAGGAGGGTGGGACGAAGGGAATGGTGCTGGCATGACGGGTCTGAGAACCCAGGAAGCTGTCAGGACAGGGAGCACATGTCTGGCCCGAGCCGAGGGCCTGAAGAGAGGGAGGAGCCCAGAGCGAAGTGGGAGGAGCCCAGAGCGAAGTGGGAGGAGCCCAGAGCGAAGTGGGAGGAGCTCAGAGCACAGTGGGAGGAGCCCAGAGCGAAGTGGGAGGGCGGTGACGGGTGGTAATGGAGCAGGGGTACACCTGGCCCAGCTCAGCAGAGCGCCCATAATGGGCAGGAGAAGGGGGCGCTGTCTTGGGCTCTAGGCATGGGGAGGGGAATAGTCCCTGATGAAGCGGGAAGGCAGGAGACAGGTTCTGAGCTGAACCTGAACCATCTCAGCCAATCCTCACAGAATGAGTAACAAACGCTATCTCCAACAGCCTGGAAGGACAGTGGGGCAGGGCTCTGATGCCAGATGGACACGGGTTCAATCCCAGCGTCCCACTTCTAGGGGATGTTCCTAGTCTAGCTCAGCGGTGTCCCTGGGCTCAGCAGCGAACACCGAGTCAGCTCAGCCACCACTCGGTGCACGTCGGCCTCACGGATTTATCACTTGGTTCTTATAACACGCGCAGGGAGGCGTACAGTAGTGTCCCTTCGGTCCGACAGACACCCTCCCTGGATAGTTCTGGCCACCCCCATCCCCGATCAGACCAATCAAAGCTGGGTGCCAGCTCACCCTGAGTCCCCAGTCACCTGGAGCCACTCTGCTCCCCTCCCAGCCTAGCCACGCGGCTTGCAGGGATGGCGCAGGTCTCCAGGGACCACGCAGCGGCCAGAGGAGCTGCGGGAAGGAGTCCCGGGGGACACTGGGGACGGGCCCTGCCGGGGTTCACGGCCGCTCACCTGGGCGCTCTCCACCTGCCCATTGACCATGAGCAGAAAGACGCTAGGGCTCGCGGCCGCCATGGCACTGCCCGGAGCGCTGAGAACCCACGCAGGCGGGGCACGCAGTTCCTAAGAGGCGCCGGGGTTGCCCTGGAAACAGACGGCGTGGCGCAGGGGACACGCTTCCCGGAGGCGGCAACTTCGCTAAGGCGGGTGCACGCCGGGTGGCGCAGGCGCACTCGGTGGGCGCTGTCGGGGGCGTGGCCTGTGGGCGTGGTCGGGAGGGAGGGCGGGGCTCCAAGGTCCGCCTGGGTCGGTGTTCGCTGGCGGCGCAGAATTCAGCT